GGGCAGCTGCTCTGAACCTAACTCACCTTTTAACCACTTCAAAATTCTTTAACAAAGCATAGGCTGGTAAAACGCTTATCTCTCTGTTCCCACAGTCAGTCACTCTCTCTACCCCTTTTTTCACCATGAGGCCACAGACAACCCATCAATCTGTAGCATCTTACCTGAGCAAACTTGTGTATTTGTTCTACTACAGCTGCAAAGAGAGCGTGGACACTTTCATCAATTAGACTCTGCATGTAATGTACAGCTTCTTCGTCAGAGAGGTCCAAACGGAACTTGTCCTGCACCTGGTAGGAAGAGATTAGAAAGATCAGCCCTTTTATACAGAAAGAAAACTCTGGCCCTGTAATTGTAGAATTCCATTTTTACTGTATTTATATACAAACAAGGAAAATTCCATCTTCCAAGCAGCACACACAGCTGCCACTGGACTCAGCACAATTAGGGTTGCCAACTTTGGTTGGATGAATTCCTGGAGGTTTCATCACGACATTATCTTTAATTAAAAAATAATCTTTCATTCCTGGAGACTCCAGCACAATCCTGGAGGGTTGGCAACCCTAAGCACAACTAAGCTGTGGACAAGTATCTATGGGCAGAAGAATTCAATCCTATCATTCTGTATGTATTTCTTGGCCGGAGGGTGAAGGGAAAACATTTGAAAGACCATCCATATTTAAAATAGAAAGAAAATCCTATTGCTGAATCACCTTCTGGGTGTGGTGTTCTGTCCCATCCAGTGGCACCGAGACTACGTAGAGAGAGATATAAAATGAGTCTGTTCTACTGCCTTAGCGAAGAAGCAGTTGGCTTTCAGCTCATGCGGTAGAGGCTCATGCACTAAGCTCCAGAGATCCCCAGTTTGATCCTGCCTGCCGACGACCAGGGTCTGGCGGTGTTACAATAGTCTAATTCCAAAGCAAAAGTCATTTCTCCCAACAACCGAAATCAAATAAAAAAACGTTTTGGAAATCTGATTTTGGTGAAATGGCCAATTTATTAACACAAAGTTTCAAAACTGGCAGCCTACTCGGTGCTCAGGTAGAGCAATGGGTGCCACTACAAGACCCTACATAAACAGTGGTTGTAAGTAAGCGTAGCATTCATTATGAGACACATCAGATTTAATCTCTACATGTGGGCAAGCAAAAGCTCTTTGTTTTATTGCGAAAACGCAGCTGAAATACACCTCTACCTCGATATAACGCTGCCCTCGGGAGCCAAAAAATCTTAGCGCGTTATAGGTGAAACTGCGTTATATCGAACTTGCTTTGATCCACTGGAGTGCGCAGCCCCGCGCCCCCCCCCCCCCGGGCACTGCTTTAACACATTATATCTGAATTCGTGTTATAATCAGGTCGCGTTATATCGAGGTAGAGGTGTATTTCAGCTGCGTTTTCGCAATAAAACAAAGAGCTTTTGCTCGCCCACATGTAGAGATTAAATCTGATGTGTCTCATAATGAATGCTACGCTTACTTA